GTTTGGTGTTTTATTGCTCTGTGCTTGCTGAAGGAAGTAGTTTTAGCATTATATGTACCTTTTGGCTAATATCTGGAATTAAATCATATTTCTTTAAGATTCTAGGACTGTAAATAATCATGTTTTTGTGGAATTACTCATTTATCTTTTGAGATACTTAACTGCATAACAAATCAAATTTCCCTCTACACTCCTGGCTTCACTTTATTTATTTTTTATCCTTATTCTCTCTCGATTATTTGAGTTATGCAGATGGGAATATAGAAGAGGAGAATTCTATTAGGAGGTCCTGAGGGACCCCACCCTTTCTGAAAACCACTGTTCTAGAACCACTTGTTCAACTTTGACAACTTACTGTTCAGAATGGAATTTCTGGTTTCTTACTCCTTTTAGGTATGTTTGTGAGGGAGGAAAACACAGAAACAGAGACGGAGACAGATACGGGGGTCTGAACCCAGGGCCTTGCACATGATAGGCAAGTACTCTCCTACTGAGCTACCCACCCTATCCTTTTAAAAATTTTACTTAGAGACAGGGTCACACTAATTGCCCAGGCTTCTTCAACTTATAATTCTCCAGACTCAGCTTCCTGAGTAGAGCTACCACACTGACTTCAGCTTCTTCTTTATTCTTTCATTTTAAAACATGCTGCCCCTTAACCTTAAAATGAGAGTAATATAATAAGCTGTAAAATAACTTATGTTTTGTTGCTAAGGATTGAACCTAGGACCTCAAGTATGCTGAGTATACAATCTACCACAGAGCTACATTCTGAGTTCCAACTTAATTTTACGACTTGAAAGAAATAATATAACATGAACCAGACAACAGAATCATCTCAATGAAATAAAACAATGGTTGTCCTTTCACACATGCAAGATATTTAAAAACAAATCTTTTCTTGGCTATACTATGAAGCCTGTTAACTGTGACCTGGTCCAAGTTTATTTAGCTGTTGGACTTTGAGAAACCCGAGGTTAGAAGTAAAGTGCTCCAAACTTATACTTTGAACAGTACCTGCTGGGTAGAATTTAGAGATGGGAAACCACCTACAAACCAAAATATTTAAAGTATATGCAATTAACTATGGCTAGCCTAAATCAAATCTACCTCAACTGATTCACTTGCCAGTGTAAACAAAATCACAATACATAAAAATGTTTTGAGGGGCCAGAGAGACAAAATCACAATACATAAAAATACTTCAAACTAGGATATTTTGACCTAAGAAAAATATGTTGTAAGTTATCATATTAGCTTTATGACTACACACGAAAAGTTAAAGTTTGATGTTGCAGGCAAACAGTATTATACAGCACAGCAGTGCGTGAATAAGACAGCTTTTGGAGCCTTGTAAACATTTCTTCACCTCACTGTAGAGCTGAATAAAAGTAGCTATAAGAAAGATTACCTATATGAATGTGGTTCTTTCTGAACTCTGCATCTGTGATATCTAGTTTCACACCCTCTGCATCTCTCTGGATTTAAGGAAATGATGTGAGGCATATGCTTAGTATAGCTTTTTAAAAATCATATAAAATATTAATGCTAAACTCTGCATTTTTGCCCCTCCCAAATGTATTAAGACACAAGTCTTAGATCTTATGAAGTAATTACATAAGCTTTTGAACTTTAAAAATCCCCACAAACTGACTGTATTTTTATTTAAGGAAAAAGATCTTAATAAAAGTTTTAGCTGAAATTTTCATGGATTTTATAGTCAGATGTATGTTAGCTGATGCTAATGCTGAACTGATTTATATCTCAACGTACCAGCCCTCAGCCCCGAAGAGTCTCATACAGAACGCCTTGGAGCACCAGGCAAGGAGATCACACTCACTCTCCAGAGCTTCAAGTGGGCTCTGCTGAGACCGTACTGGGAAAGTTGCATGTAGGGCAGGAAGCCTGAGCAAGCTCCTCTGTATGCAAGTGAGGGTCCTTCCCTAGCAGGAGCACTGGAGCCATCTAGCCTGGCTGCAGTCCTGTGTGAACTCTAGCAGGACCAGATGCTAGAGAAGACAAGGACGTGACTCCCCTGCAGCCTGGACTCTTTTCTCACTCACCACAAAAAGCATGTGTCATGGAAAGGCAAGAAAGCCTTCATAGCCCAGAGTCTACCCTTGTTTTGACAGGAAAAGTTGTGTGTGGCTGGGGGTAGGGAAGGAAACCTTTACTGCTCTTGTTCCTACACAAAGACTAGTGCTACAAAAGAAGGAACAGAAAACGTACCCTACCTCTTGCACTGACATTAGACAAAAGCAAACTGTCACCAGGAAGGAGACAGGAAGTCCACTAGGTCCCCATATTATGGACTGATTCAAAACAGAAGTCTCTTGCTACTAGGGAAGGGACAGAAGAACAGCCTGCAGTCTAAACCTGCGCTGCATAGTGAAGATACTGTCTGTCAGGAACACAGACCAAGACTGGAGTCAGGTATGAAGAGATTTTTTCTGTCCCCACCATGAGTCATGCACTGAGTGCTTGGAGAGGCAAGAGCATGAAGAGCCCTCTTTGATGCAGTCAGTCAGGGGCTGCTGAAAGCTGGGAGGAAGCAGGAAAAAGAAAAATGGAAATGGGCATAGTGATGCATGCCTGTAATTCCAGTACCTGGGAGGCTAAAGCAAGATTGCTGTGGGTTTGAGGCCAGCCTGGACTGCAAATTAAGCTCAAGGAAGGGTAGCCTGAACTGCACAGCGAGACTCTGTCTCAAAAAGAAAGAAAGAAAGAAAGAAAGAAA